GCGGCGGCGGCGGCGGCGGCGGCTCCTCCCGTCCGAACGGCCGCCACCTCCGCCTCCGCTGCCGCCACCGCGGGGGCGACGCTCTCCAGCACTTCTTCCGCCGCCGCTACCGCCGCGACCATGGCGGTCGCTTCCCGCACCGGCGTCACGCCGCCACCTGCTTCCGACGCCGCTGCTTCGGCCATGATATCATTGAAACCCCGCTGGGGGGAGGGGATCCAGCTGCCGAGGCCATTAGGTGTTGGCGCAATTGCCTCTGGCTGCTGCGGCTGCGTGGCCGTGGCGTCGGCGGCGGCGACGGGGGCAGCCACTGGCGGGAGGCGGGGGGCCGAGGAACAGCCGGCAGTGCCAGCGGCGGTGGGCGACCTCCGCGGCGAGGACTTCGGCGTTCTGCCGCCGCGGCCGCCGCCGCCGCCCGAGGCCGTTGTGGACGTCGTCGCCGTCATCGTCGTGACTGCCGCTGGTTTTCCCTTGCCCTTGCCCGTGCCCTTGCCCTTGCCCTTGCTCCTGACACCGCTCATCGGTGGAAGCGTGGACCGGCGCGTCTCTTCTTCCTCTTCCTTCGCCACAGCAGCGGACTCACGAGAACGCAGAGGCTCCGTACATTCGATACCCTCGCCGCCGCCGCCACCGGCCAGGGCGCCGTTCGACGAGCGGTTGCCGCGCTCCCCTTCTTCGTCGCGAGGGGGGTCGTCGATCGCGCGCAGGGCGTCCACAACGCCGGCCCCCAGCTCCTCGTCCCCGATCCCCTCCGGCACGAGGGCCAACAGCCTCGAGAGAAGCGCCCGCGTGACGACGGCGTGCTGCTGGCCGCCGCCGCCGCCGCCGCCGCTATTTGTCGGCCGGGCGACGGCCCCCTCGCCCCCGTTCAGCGCCGCTGTCGCTACTGGTGGCACAGCAGCAGCAGCAGCAGCAGAGGGGCACGCGGAAGAAGAAGACTCAACCGGGACTACGACCGAAGCAGCGACGGTGGCGGGGGCGACGGCTCCGTTGTCCGCCCGGGACGATGACGATGACGCTGACGACAAACCGCAACTCTTAGCATCCCCTTCAGCACCCCCCCCTACAGCAGTGGCAGCAGCGGCCGTCGCCGCCGTCGACCCCCCCGACTCATCGCCGGTCTTTTCCGCCTCCTCCTCTTCCCCTCCCGTAGGAGCCCCTGCTTCTGCCGCTTTTCTTTTTTTCCCCGACAACGGTGGTGGCGGCGAGGTTAGTGCCTTGGAGGCCGGGGCCTGGCGCGGCGCGCTACCGAGCTCTTGGCGTGATGAGCGCACGCGGAAGCTCGCGAGCGAGGCTCTCGCCACCTGTGAGAACAAAGTACGGGGGACAGGAGAAGGGCAGGCCTAAGCGTGTGGTTGAGAGATGATAAGTCGTGGTACGCAATTTCCAAAGACCTCCACGCCCTCCAACACGAACGGAGAAAACGGCGGGTCCGACCCCCCCCCCAACCGGCGCAGTGCTGTGTGTGCATCGTCTCCACAAAATCGTCAATACGCAAGGCCTTTCGTAACCGGCGAAGCAAATGCTGCCCGACCCCGTTCCTTCTGAAGTACACCACAGCATCAGTTGGCAACGAAAGACCAGTCAGCCAGCAAATGACTGTGCCTGTCGACGTTATGTTGACGGGGTGCCACCACCAAGCGCTTCCAGAAAAAAAAAATATATATACAAGGTTCCCCTTCGGGACGTGGGTGCCAGGCCCCCCGGGGGTGACGCAAGACCACATGCGCATTGCCAAAAGGGCGGTAGGTCATGGACTAAATCTTAATGTTCGGTAGTGCTCGCCACCGTACAAAACATCGCATGTGTCATGGGACGGAGGAGGTGGAAATGGTTGGCCGACGAGGAGGGTAATTCTTATGATAATGTTGTAGAACTGTTGGGCAGCTGCAATCTCGACATGGGTAGCATAGGCAGTTGGAACAGACATGAGATGGAGGTATTCCGGGACACTTTGGTATTTGTTCAGGGTGGCCAGCTATTTGAATGTTCTCCGAATTTATTCCAGCGGAGATGGAGTCGTAAAAAGCGTTTTGTCCAGACCCTGGTAAGGGGTTGTGGAGGTTGTCGTTGATGTGGTCGATGAGTTGCGTTCTGACCAGTTGGTGCATGTTGGGGTCGTCGAAAACTCGACGGGCAATGCATCTTAGTAGGCATGCTCCATCACCGATTTCATTGACAATTAATTTGCCGAGATCCCTGGTTGGTGTTATTGCCGTTGTTGTTGCCCGCACCACCGCTGTCGCCATCATTGGGCGATGATGTGCTGTTGTTGCCATTGTTGCATCCCTCACCTTGGCCATGGCGACGAGGTAGTTGAATGTCTAAAGTAGGGGGAGGTTGACCAGTGGCTGCAACAATAATCTCAGAGAAGACGACGATGTGCACGTGGGGGGCGTCGTTAACGAGATGATCCGTGTTCAAAGGATATTGTCCCTGCAGGTTGTACGGCTAACGGCAACGTACAACTGACCATGGCAGAAGACCGATCCCCTTAGAGGTAGAGGCCGACTTTTTTTTTATGTTTGTCCTTGAGACTTGTTGATGGTCATAGCGTAACACAATGTGACAGGGAACGGTAACGGTGAAAGGCAAGACCGCGCGCTCCCACTTTGACGCCCAAGAAGATGCATGCGCGGTATATTTAACGTTGGGAGATTCATCGGATAGAACTTCAACGTCGATAACGCGTCGTGAAATCCCTCGAATAACTCCCCGTTTGCCATTGACGAGACCGCAATCAAAGTCAATGTTCCTGATGAAGAAGATCAATGCCCCACCTTTGAGGTTGAGTTTGTGCGGTGGCGTGCCGGGGGCATTAATGATATTGAGGTATTCGACGGAAGCAACATCTGGCATGTTTTCGTCGTCCTTGACGATCTTGTCTGAACTAAGTTGTTCGTGAACATTTCCTGGCATTTTACGAAGGATGAAGTCATGGATCTGGTCAATGTCATCACTTGTGGGCGCTAGAATGCCGCGGTCGGTCGTTGTAGATGTCGCGGTTAGCTCGTAAGAGGTCGGGACAGACTTTTTTCAATGAGGTGTTCAAATTCCGTTGTTCCGGCGACGATCGAACATGTCGTTTCGGGATCATCGTCGTTTTTGACTGCTGTGTGTTGCAATGGAATAGACCCTCTCCAACAGCTAAGACAGTTTTAGCGTAAGGGATGCCATCTTTGTTTTTTTCATGCACTTGGGGAGTAGGGCGGGAGAGACGAACACGTGACCATGAGCCTGACGACAGGAAAGCATTCTACGATTTCACTCTCAGTTCCGAACGAACGGTAGAACGGGAGCAACTTGACGCCAATCCCCGCTGAAAAGAATAGTTTTCCCTCCGATGGGGAAGTCATCTTGACGTAGGTCCTGAGAGTGGAGTTGAGTGCTTCTGGGGCAAACTTTGAAGACATAACAATTTCATCCCAAATAATAAGTAATGACGATTTTTTTTAGGTCGTCGGCACGTTCGGACCCAGCTGGGACGTTGCAAACGCTGCCTTCTATGGCATCGTCTCCGAAAGGGAGTTTAAAGGTGCTGTGGGTCGTAAGACCGCCAGGTAGGATAAAGTGCAGCTATTCCTGTTGATGTACTAGCGCAAATGACTAGTTTTGCACGGGCGCGCAGGTGGGCTGCGATTGCGCATTCTGTGAACGTTTTTCCCGTCCTGGCCGGAGCATCTATCATGTATACACCACCTTTGTTTTCCGTGGCACTGGTCGTGACCGTGTCGAAGATGTTTCGTTTTCTTCTCGAGTTAGTTGTGGTGTCATTTGAGCTCAAAGAAAGTTCTTCTTGCTCTGATGTGGAAATTGCACCGACGAGACGACCGAAATCGGAGTTGTCATGTTTTACATTTGGAAGACCAAACTGAGTTGTGGACCGGACGTGTTGGTTGAGCATGAGGTCAATGTGCTTAAGGGGGGAGGTTTGGCGAGGCATTGATGAATGGCGGCGTAGATTGATAGCGGGAGAGGGTGGAGGCTACTCTGGCGGTGAGAGCTAGCTGTGAGCTGTGATGTGGGGGCAGCGTATGCAGTAGACTATCAAGAGTAGATGGGAAGAGTCAGCAGTTCGAGCAGACGGAGTTTTGTATGGCACGGCAGATTGGGATATTTGGATTGTGCAGATGTTGGCTTTCGATGTCGTTTTAAATAAATCGGACTTGCCCGTGGTATAAGCACATCAGCTGAGGCACACAGTTCTACACATATGACCAGCCCCGAGAAGGAGAACTGATGCAGATGCATACGTACGTGTCGCGTAGTACGTTGTTGATGCCGCTCGCTGTGGTATTATCCGTGTCATGAACCACAGCCATTCGCAAACAAACGGGACGTTTTATTGATGCTCTTGTGGTATAGTCTACATGCATGTCATGGCCCGCAGCCATTCGGAAAAAATCGGAGATCGAAAGATCCATTTCAACCATTGAACTATGTAGATATGAAAATGCACCATATTACATGGACTACTACTACAGCGCATAGACACACACAGCAGTGTAAGACAGCTACAGCAGTGAGTGGAAGACGGCTGCTGCAATGCTGTTTAATAGGTGGGTAAATAGTGTTTGTACGCGGGCTGTGCAGGCTGGCAGCCATTCCGAGAAAACGAATTATGAAAAGTATTCGAAAAATCTGTGGCCGGTTCTCGTTGTATACGTCATCAATCAACCATCAACGATAAATATTTGGAAAAATGATTATTTTTAGTTGTGATCCAATCGCAAACCGGAGGTGAAAGGTCAAATCAGAGTGGCTGCCACACACAATAGCCAGCCCCGAGAAGAAGGAGTACTGATGATGCAGATGTACGTCGCGAAGTACGTGCCGTGGAAACGTGGTACTGCTGTCCGGCTGTGTGTTGTCGGTGAGAAGCGTACTGCTGGCCCGCATCAAATTCGGAGAAAATCGGACCATTGTCAAGTAAAGGTCCGACAGAGAGGTTTCGAATTGGGTCGGCAGGCTTTGTCGTCGCGCAACGCGTCCCCTGGGTGTTTAGCCAGTTTTCGAAACTTTAAGCGTCAATCACACGCGCAACCGTAGCCTGCCGAGCTCCGGGCACGAGCGTTAATGTACCGACGAGCCTCCTGCGTGCCCCTGAGAAGGAATCGCGAGAAAAGACTCGTTGCGGCGAGAGAAAGAAATGCCGAGGCATGAAAAGTGACCAAATCTTATATGTACATATCTTTTGTCTCTTGTGAAAAGTCCGGCGTGCGGCAGCCATGATATGACCTCGCGGCCAGATGAAATGTAACAAAACAACTATCTCGAACGTATGGAATAAAAAATAAATATTAAACAAAAAAAAACAATCGAAGAAGAAAATCGCAACGGCGAGTCGAAGAAAAAATCCCACGCACCTGTACGAGGCATGTTTCGACGGGAGCAAGGGACACGACCCCAAAGCGCCGGTTGTCGCTCGCGCACCGCAGCGCGCAGGCCATCTCCCCCCTGCACCCCTCTTGCGAGACCCCCTTGTACACCCAGTCCCAGGCGACGGACACGCACACGGAGCCGGGGTCCTCCTGTCAAAACAATAAGCAATAAGAATGCGGCGAAGAGACGTCGAAGGATAGGGTCGGGAAAATTCTCGGGGGGGGGGGGGGGGGGTTTCCCGGGCCCCGGGGAAAGAAACCCCCCCCGGGCCCGGGGCCCCCTTTTATAAAAAAAAAAAAGGGGGGAAAATTTTTTCAAAGATACCGGCCAAAATTTTTTTCGGGGGGGAAGGGAAATTAGGGGGGGGGGGGATTAACCCCTTCCCAAAGAACCAAAAACACACGGGGGCGGGGGTCTCCCCCCTCCCAAAAAAAACGGGAAAAGGGTTCAGGGGTGGGGGGGAAAATTGGGGGATCCGGGGTTCCCCCCCCCTTGGAACCCGGGGTTTGGTTTTTGGGAAAATTTTTGGTGTTTAAAAACCCCAAAACCCCCCCTTAACCCCCCCCCCCTTTAAAAACCCCAGGAAAAAAAAATCCTTTTTTTTTTTTGGGGGGCGTTTTTCTTTTTTTTTAAGCCCTAATTTCCCAAAACCTTTAAAAAACCCCCAAAAAAGGGGCTTATAAATTTAAACCCCCCTTGGGGGGGGGGG